AAAGCATTACTTGTCGCATGTACAAGATACATTGAAATCAAACTTAAAACGTCTCTACTGAAAAAATATTATCTTGCCCTTTTACCCTTATACATATGAGCTATCGAAATTATCCTTGTATATTTGGTAGGTGTGGACTTATAATGTCAGTATTCATTGAGCGCCAGTGTCGTGTGTGCTCTTTCTCCGAAGGCTATTCCTATAAATAAAATAAAAAAATAAAATTAGTTTATTACTGTAACTGTTATTCCTGTATTCTTCCCGGCCGTGTGTCCCCGGGGAGGGCGGGTGATAGGTTTTATGTTATTTGTGTGGACGTGACGCGGCTCCGGTTACACACACGGCTCGTTGGAATCAATGTCGCCGTAAAACACGCTTGTTATGACTCGGCTTATATTGAGAGTCTGATACACACGGACAGGCGGGATCGTTAGGAGTAATTATATGGAGAGGATATAGTTAATATAAGACGGAACAATATTTATATTGATCAAAATTTATGTTTTTAAAGTCCGTGTGTAGTTGTTGACCGTTTTATAAAACATCAGGATTATTACTAATGATAGTTGAAATTTAAATGTTATATAACATAGTAATAATGTAAATCTAATTCACTATGTATATATTTGACGCAGCCCGTTGTTTAGTCATCGATAGAGTCGAGTTTAATATTAATATAAGGCGGCATGAAGTAGTCCGTAGCGCGAGTCTACGGGGAGTTCAATTAAAAAAACGATCTCACAGGAAATTGCAAGTGCTGTGGAAAAAAATGAACGCTCAGACCGCAGTCGGCGAGCTAGTGATGTGCTTGTACTGTATCGATAACAGCTAGTGCCGTGCGTGTGCTGTGAGTGTAGCGAGACATGGATTACCGAGCCCCCCACCCGATGATGAGCGTCGGGGCGCCGTACTACCCCCACACAGGTCGGTCCCAATTAATTAACAGCTTATACATGATTAGCCGCGATCGCTTCATTAATTACACACGGAGCATCACTCGGCGTGATTCGAGCTGTGTCATGTTAATGTATTAATTGTTGCGTGTATGAATATCACACGCACACACACACACACACATAATATATTATGTAGATGTGTGTGTAGGTATCGCGTACAACCGCACGTAATCAATAATTTATATAAACACTAGTGTACGTATGCGGCGTTCACTCCCTGGCTCATTTCCAACGAGTGAGTGCTCTCCGGTTACTTCAGATTAACTTAGAGCCGGCGCCCGGCTATGTCCGTCTTAACGTGAACTGAAAGAAACATTATCATTATAATATACTAGCTTTTGCCGCGACTCCGTCCGCGTGGAATAGTGACTTCCGGCAGATTTTTGGTTCTTCCCACATAGTTCCCGTTCTTGCGGGGTTTTCGGAATGGTTGAGTTCCCGTTGAATTTTCAGGATAAAACCTATGTTTTTTTTTTATTCACAATGAAGTACTCTTAACCAACAACATATTTATTTGTTTATTTGAATAAAGATTAATATTATTATGTTGATACAACTTAAACATATTATTTCGACCAGATTAGGTACCATAAAAACGGTTTTTGTCAGTTAATAGACATATACTGTCACCGACTGTTTTTTAGATCATTAAAAGAGCTATTACTTTTTTAATACATATTTTTTGTGTATCTTGAACCGTTTTCACGGCGCACGCAACGAAAGGCTTAAAAAATGAAATAATTTCTCCCGTTTTTTACACATTTACCACTATGTCTTTGCTCCTATTGGTCGTAGCGTGATGTTATATAGCCCACAGCCTTCCTCGATAACTGGACTATCTAACACAAAAAGAATTATTCAATTCGAACCAGTAGTTTCGGAGATTAGCGCTTTCAAACAAACAAACAAACTCTTCAGCTTTATAATATTAGTATAGATAAAACCCACGAACAAACAAACAATCCTGTAATATATTATATATGAAATGTGTATATAGTTTCCGTCCAGGATAGAGCGGAATAAAAGATGTTACTATCATAATATATGGGGTGGATGTATAAGGAGATGAGGCCAGGGTCTAACCAGGGTGGGACACCAGATTAAAATTGTTAGTGTATAGGACACCGCTCAACTAACAACATTATTACAACTTGCATCATCCCACACAGAACATCAAACGGTTGTCGTATGTAGTACTAGCTTTCCGCCCGCAGCTTCGCCCGCGTGGAGTTAGGTTATATCGCGTTTCCAAGAGAACCAAAATCAAAAGTCTGGGATAAAAACTATCCTATGTTCTTTCTCAAGGTCAACTCTACGTCTGTACCAAATTCCATTAAAATCAGTTCAGTGTTTTAGGCGTAAAAGCGTAACAGACAGGCAGACAGAGTTACTTTCGCATTTATAATATTAGTAGGGACTAGTAGGGATGTTGTTTTTCATACTAATGATATTCTCATTAAGGCGTCACGCGAGCAGATTCGTGTCAAATCCCTTCATATAATATTCGTGGTAACAATCTCATCTATATATAATATAGGTGGTAACATTCGTTATATTCGTGTCGGTCTGTGTACTATGTTCCGTGTAAGGCGGCCCGTCTGGTCGCCGGTCGCCCCTCGTTGCGCGCGCACCGTGCCCGGTGGCGTAAAACACGAGCGACGAGCGGTTATAATGTATATGTATTACCATTGACTATGAAATATTAAAAAAAATATATAGCAGACACTCAATATATATTTTTTATAAATATTATTAATATAAGTATTAATTTTAATTATTCAATATATTTATTATCACTGACACACGTCTGTAGTTGTCGTTCGCCCTCGCCGCAGGGTGTCAGTTGTAACTGGACCCGGTCGGAAGTGTCTGTCAGATTTGTCGCTTGACTCTCACCGCCGGTACACTAGCGCTCCCCAGCGGACACACTGTTTACTCCACTTAATTGTTGTATGGCTGCTGACACTCGATATTCATATTACCGACACTTATATTTTTTATAATAATATTACTATGCTTTTCATGTGTCATGTAGCATTTAAAAAAGTATATGTCTGTCTATTATACTAGATATATTAATATAAGTATAAACATAAAGTAGCATAAAACGTTTCGTATTACATTTTGTCCAAACAAAATGTAAATATATTTATAAGGATTGCGAGTTGACATACGGGAGATAGGATCACACTAAATGGCTGGCAATAACGACCGGCGACGAGCGGCGGAGTGTTGAGTGGAGAGGGGCACGGTAATGATCACTGATGGAGACACTGGAGAAGGGAAGTGGCTGGCAGGGGTAGGGACTGGGGTACTGATACTGTGGCAGTGATGACGAGGAAATATTGATGGGGAGGAGATATAAACCATTGATTATATTGTTAATAGTGTATATTATCAGACAAATATTAATTAATTCATCACGGGAAATAGTTGTCGTATAGGGTGTCCTTGCCAATATTAGCTACATGTTGCCCTACCGTATGCGATTGCAATATAAAATTATATGTTAATATTGTTTAGAAAATAAATTCTCGCAATACTCGCTAGTATTAAATACGATGGGTGAATGTCGTAGGTTAAAAATCACTTCAGATATTTTAATATTGAATCACTAAATCTTTAAAAACAAACACATATTCCCATTCCCGAGTGATCAAAAATACACAGACACCCCGGGCCTCCGGATAACCGTATAAAACGGCGCGGATGTCCTTATCCCGCGGATCGTCGGAGGCGATAAAAAAAAACATCTAGCCTCACCCTCCGCTACACCCTCACACTCCTCACCCCTTCGCCTGCCAGTCGACGGGTGCGATGAACCACTGAGCGGGAAATACGCCGTAAACCGAGAGATTGTTATTTACATGGAGTGAGCCTTTTCAAAGCTTGATATATGAATGTCGGAATAGTTCTTACAATTCCGTCGTGAATCATTTTAGATCAGATAAAAAATTATATCGAATAAAAACTGTAATGGATTTTATATGTACATATGTTATGCTTCAATTTTTGTTATGTTAGTTACATTCAATAATTAATGAACTTGTTATTGCATAAAATATAACTGAATTTCATCTTGTTATAAATTCAGTATAAATTTTTATGAACATAAAAAGTCGGTTCATTATACACATAGTTATACTAAAAGTTATCTGTAAATAAAATAATATTGTCACACTACATAATGAAGTGCGTAACTTGTCAGCTTCATTAATGTTCGCAGTGGCTTCTAAATAATCCTATTATCAACACAGGTATACATTCTTAACCCCACAAAACAAGAACCCTGATAACTGAGCCCGAAACCTCGACACTAACCCCCGAACCCTCTCTCCCACCCCATAAATGCCGCCGCAAATCTCGTATTACTCTAACAAGTCTGCGGTAATCTCTTAGAAATACGTCGGACTACTAAATTAGACCCTATTACTAGCGAATAAAGTTCTCAAAGCACGGCGTGAAGGCGCCAAGATAGAAATTGATTCGACGCCAAGAATAGGGTTGTGGATGCGACGCTATCCAATTTTATTAGATCTCTCTCCATACGGAGCGGGCTTATGTTTGCTAGCATTTCGTTTATCGAGCGGGAAGTCGAGAGGTCTCGATAAATTAGTCCGTCCTTATTGTAGAGCTCATGAAACGCTGTTCCGTTGAAGCGGAGGCGAGCGGCGAGGGTGTGCGATTACCGACAGTAATCGACTTGATCCCGATGAAGTTAGATGCAAAGTGCTCTGTATAGAATGGAATACTCAGATGTGACACATGACACCTACTGGAATGAAAACGATATGGGTTTAATGAATTCGTTTTCATGTTTTGTCTTCTATAACGAATGAAATATAGGCGATATTTCAAACCAATTTAAGAATACAATCATAATACATTGTACGTCAGCTTACATTTATGAGATGAACAACGATCCGATGATACGATATACATAAATCCATATAAATGTGTATGTATTAAAAAAGTATCACTCGCCTGTGAGAGTAAGTTGAGAGGCACTTAGCTCGTAGGCATGAAAGTGGCCCATTTGTAACGTTATTGTTTGGCGGACGAGGGCGGCTGTCGGGGGCGCGGAGGAGGGGGCGGCGGGGAGCGGGGCGTGACGGTCGGGGGTGACTCGGCGGTGGGATTGCCACTGGCTTGTAATGGAAATTCGTTGACGATGCCGCTGGTTTGTGGTACTGTCCAATAATAAGACGCGTTCAACATATTATATTGAATAAATATGTTAGTAGCTTTTAATACACGAAACCGAATAGTTATTTGTGTAGATTATTTTATATATAAAAAATTAAGCATATTGCCAATGCAAGTAAAATTATATAAGTTTCATTTAAAATATTAGCTCTAGGGACTGACTGCTTCAAGTATTTTGACGTTCATGTACGTACATAAAATTGAAACAGTTCATTCTTACAGCAAAATGTATTGTGATCAGTACGTGGTCTAGCCCGCTCGTCGCTCGTGGCTCGTCCCGTGTCCCAAGTCCGCGTCAGTAGAGCGCATGCGTCCCCCGGCCCGTATACCTACACTTGTTGTACTCGATCCACTCTTACTAAAGAGTGGCAAATATGTGAGCACTTACAACACAACAGTTTGATAGTTCAGAGTAGACGAGGGGGCTCGGTAGGAGATAGACACGGAGAGAGACAGGGGGAGATTAATATTAAGAGCACTGTTCGAGTTTGTTCCACGAATATATTAAGTTAGTGCTGGCTTTGGTTACATTTATACATATATATATTATGTTGCTCACTCTACCCTCCCTTGTCTGGGGAATGACAATTAGTATGCGGTATTTGTAGATTATGAAACGTATTCTATATAATCACTAGCTCTGGATAGATTATTTTATATTATAATATGTATATCAATGTACACACAACACTACGGATGTATTATAATTACAACATGTGTGATTTCTCCCCCATAGAGCGCTCGTAGTGACGAGTGGAATCTCGTATGCTACACTACACTAATACACTACATTTAATATAACAGTAGTCTATCACTAGTTATAGTATCGTTTCACTGTATACGTGCTTTACTATGAGTCCTATTTTTAAAACAAGTATTTTAATAGTTCTACTTTTCGTCAATTAAAATATTCACGACCGAGCAAATTAATACGTGTAATAGTTTATAAGTACTACAATAATTTGTATTTGCTGACATGTTCATAATATGACCGTGAAGGCCGTTCTCGGAAGGTCGACCGTTTTAACTCTGGCATCTCACCTCCGACCTCGGTGAAGGGCCAGAGGTCTCAGTCTATTATACAGCCTCATTAATCCAATTTACCGTATCCAAGTAGTCTGCGGGGACCACCCCGGGGGGAGGGGAGGGGAGGGAGGGGTCGCCTCGAGTCGAATTAGCGCTCGAGACCAGATTAATTACCGCTCGCCGCTTCGTTGACAACCCCTTCTGTGTGGGGTGTCGCTGTGTACAGGGTAGTTATAATGTACTACAGTGATACCTTATTGATGTTATGACGAATATTATTAGAGGGCTTATATTATTGTGTTCTCTATCGTGAACTGAAATAGAGGAAAAATAAGAAGTATATAGAAATGGGTGGAACGAGATTTTTACACATAACGTGTGGCATACGTGTTACTTATTATATGTTTTCTCATGTATAAAACTACATCTGCGAATTTTATGATAAACGTCATTCGATGCCAGTGTGTGGGGTGACCCCGGGTGTGTGGGGGGTTTGGGTCGCGACCCATCGGTGGGGGGGTCCATCCAATTTGTTCCCCCCTCGTCGAATATCAATGGATATTACAAAAACGACTTGATATACAATGGGTGTTATGATAACAGAGCTGTTGTTTATATTTGAAAAATGACACACAGAATATATCACACAACGGCTAAATAAAGTGTTGGATATTTTTAGGATTAATTGTATAACAGAATTTATTTATATTTATATCGTTCCCGTCAGTCGTTAATAAATATCCTGTTAAAAATATATATGCTTTGTTAAAAGTAATGATAGAAACATACACTCATGTCAAGAATAAGTAGATCATGTTAAAGTACGTCTGACCCATATGACTATTGCTTACATTTCACGAGGAATTAACATTAACAATACTTATTGAATACAAAACATAGAGTTGTATTGTGAGAGTGCGCTCTGTAACATGGGGTTAGTCGAGGACGGCGTACAATAGCAACAGGCAATTGAAGGGTTAAACGGCGGTGACATGGGTTTGTGGTCCGGACACGTACACACACACACACATACATACACATACATACTCACACACACACATACACATGGACCGGAGATGTATAAGAACATTATTTAACAGATGCCATCTACACCCATTATTATGAAGATTCCGTGTTGAATAATAATGAATCAGTTTAATATTTAAAAAAAATGTGTTGTTATAATATTTAGTATACATATAGGAAACGAATATTAAGAATATAATAGGTATAGAGAGGAGCTTGGACAGTGAGGGTAAGCGATTAACGCGCGATAGATAGGGACCCTTTAAACCTACACCTGGGTCACAAGTCCCAGTCACTGTTGATGCTCCTCTCACTACAACGATGGACCCGACACACGCACCGTGAATATATTTAATGTTGAGAGGTTTCGTCTCTATATATCATCATTTAGTGTTCCTGTATGTGTGTGTAGTGTGTTTGTCCTCGCCGCTCCACTTGATCCCGTCACTAACAGGGCCGCGTCACGCCGGGGCCCGCTCGCCAGTTGACCTCATTGTACGGAGTTCAAACTGTACCAATTGTATCTAATACACTCGCTGCATTCACACACACCGTTTAAAACACTACTCATATATACATTTATTACAATGATCTTCTCTTTGTATAAGTGTAGTCACGCGTCGGTAAACAGAAGTCAGTCAGTCAGTCAGTCAATCTGTCAATCAGTCAGTCAGTATATATGATATTTGTTTGTGAGCCTGGTCCCGTTCCGTTCCGTTAGTAAATCGGTGATTCAATTCAGAACACTGATTGAACGCCGCCCTAAAAGCATTCGAAGCGGAAACAATTTGTCGGTCGGTTGTCGGCGAGGGGGTTGGGGGTTGAGGGTCGGGGGTCGGGGGTCGTCACCCCACCCGCCGAGCAGCGCCGTCTTTTTATTAAGTATCAAATATTCCAGTAATTCCTCTGGATTATTATTTGGCGTCTTCCGCCACTTATGTTAACACTCAAATGAGTTAATAACGCCAGAAGTAAGATTCACCGTGTTAATGGTAGGGTTTGTTCAGATGGGATTTAAGACTGAGGTATGGTGAAGGTTATGAGGTCCATGGTAATGATTGGAGAATATTGTCATTGTGCTAGTCGATGTGATGTCAATATTTTCTGACGGTGATGACGACCACACGTTGAATTAATAGCAAAAGGCAAGACAGACTTAATTTGTACCAAAAAATAACTTTAATATACATATAGAGTTATCTTTAAATATAATACTAGTTTTATCCCGCGACTTCGTTTCAGTGACTTTCAAAATTAGAAATGTGGTTAATTCTATTCCTCCTTAAAAGAAGTAAATATTTTGGAATTAATTAATGAATTATTTTTTGTCGATCGTCTGAAAATTATCCGATATCTTTTTTGTGGTCCAGCAATTTTTAGGATAGCCCGTTAAAAACTGTTCTGACAAAAACAGCGTAACTAACACGACTTTCTTTTATATATAAAGATTGAAAATGATGACTGCGGTCATTTTTGACGTGGTTAATGATTGTAATAGCAGAGTAGGTTTTAGATAGGTATAGTGCGTTTAATTTAGGCTGACCTTTGCATTTGTATCAGTGCACACAAATAGTGTAGGTGTGATGTCAATTTTTTGAATGCAACGTTCTTTTCTAGTTTAAACCCGGTTTTTTCTGCTTTTACTCCTCCCCGCACCTTCCGCACTTCACCTTTTGTACTGGTAGCAAAATCAAATGTTGAAAACGCAATGTCAAGTGAATAAGAATTTGTAGTTTTTCCAAAATGTTTATTAATCAATAATTTTTTTTCCATAATATTCATAATATTTCCATCTAGCCTTTTACAAGTTTTGCTTATTTTATAGCACTTATGTTTTGTATCTATTTAAAATATAATAAAAATTAACTCTAAAGGTTTTGCATCTAACTCTACTTTTACTTTCATTCACACAAATGCAAGGCCAGCTTAAGTCTAACGGACTATAGTGTTTAGTTCACATAACGACAGTTGGGATGTCATACATAATATGCATCGAGTAGTTAAACATAATAACTTGACAATGTGTTCAAGTAAAGAGAATCAACGAAACACGAACAAACGTACTGTTCACAAGTTCAGTTGTGTTGGTAATACATTGATTTAGTATGAGTATTATATAGGTGTATCAATGTGATTTTTCCGAGTCATATGTACTTTCGAAGAGTATTTAGATACCACTGATTAATGTTGATTCCCAAAGAGGGTTGATGTCAGGCAGGCGGCCGGTCGTAAAAAAAACAAGTAGCCAAAACTATTCACAACATTTAAGGCAGGCCCTGGCTATAGCTGGGAAATTGCCAGGTAGAAGAAGAAAAAGTATGAGTATTATATAGCTGTAAAAATTAAATATACCTAAAAGTTAGTAATATAAATTAAGTGAACTAATTCAGTTGTATCATTTATATAATGTTGTTTATCTGAAGTAGCTTCTTGGTTATTATTTAAGGAACAACAATCGTAATGTTTTCCTTATATACACTACTAACATCCCACCGGGATCAAATTTCTATCGAACGTGTCTTAGTTTTCCTCACATTTGTTGAGCGAATGTCTATTTATACTTTCTTATATATATATGATTGATACAATTCTTCCATATTAATTCTGTCACCATTCATCCTCAATCTCTATAATTACAATATTGTGGTTATGTTTTTCATGTTATGTGTAGCCCCAATCTGATCTCTCAAATGGTTTCAAAATCTACACACTGTTTATATAAAATATATAGTTTAAGACATAACTTCGTTTTACTGTCGATGCAAGAAATTTCTTTTGCTTTGAACAGTTATCATTTTCATCTCGTCTGCCGTGATCACGGCTGCTGTAAAGTAACCGAAACTTTGGGTAAAATTTACAATAATATAATAAATGCGTGTCGTATTACCGAAACTTATAGTTTGATGTAAATCTGTGCTTATATAAAATCTAACATATCATTTTCCTATATAGAAGTAGCTTCAGTTAGTTACTCCTTACATTCGACAAAAAACGGCGTTAAAAAATTAGCCCAGCAGTTTCACAGATTAAACGGAACAAACAGTCAGACATGTAGAGTATGTGATATTTATGTATATACAAAAAAATACACTCCAATTTCATTTATTTGTATAAACTGATATAAATTACCCAAGCGTTAAATATAATATTTAAACTGTAATGAAAACCTGTCAAAATATTAAATAAATGTATATCAAAATATGTTGTGAATCACGACAAAGGGGAGCGTTCAATATATAAAATATGTAGGAATTATTAATAATAATTATTGGAAGTCCGGGAGACTGTTCAATGAAATACATGTTCATATTACATACACACCAATCATTTATCGTTAAACGTATATATGAAAATGTAATAACTGAGTCACTATAGAATCTACATTTAGTTTTGTTAAATATATAAATGAAACTAATATTATTCGGATTACTACGCGTATTTTATTATATTAAAAAATACATACATACATAAGGCCGCCTGTTGCACCTCATGTAACTAATATGTTACGAAAATGTTATTTTTTAGTTTTAGAATTGGGTGCAATAAAAAATAAATAAATAAATAATACTCTCGACGTTTTAGTTGCTACGTATAGTAATCCGAAAAATATTGGTATCATCTAAATGAATACTCGCGGTAGTCTTATATATAATTATATACAGGGTGACTGGTGAGTTACTATCAATATTTAAGGAGCATACTCGGTACATGATTCTCATTCGAATTATGTAAAAAAAATAGGTACTTAATTTTTGACCAAATTTCCGTATAAATAAATAAAGTTTGGATACGTACTCATCCTTGCCGGCGCCAGTGTGTCGCTACTCCCCAACCCCCGCCCCGTGGCTAGCGGGCCATTAGTCGGCTATTAGTCGCGCGAGGTCCGCCGTAAGGTCCGTACGTTCGTCTTCCCGCGCGCGCGCCTAGCGATCGATCTTACGCGTATACCTAATAATAATCTGTCGTGTGTGCGTGTGACCCGTTATTACTTATTAGTAATTAAATATGGCTTTTCAATACACAAATGCAGAATACTTGGACATGGTTTATGCGTATGCGCGTGCAAATGAAAGCTTGCGGGGCGCAATCAATTTGTACCGGGAGATGTTCCCCAATCGTCGAGTACCTACGGCCAGCGTCATCTTAAACGCTAATCAAAGATTACGAGACTTCGGACAGTTCCGTGTTCCAACACATGCCCAAGGAAACGTCTTGTGTATGCTACAATGTATGTCAACAGAGAGGAGTTGAAATTAAAAATCAATAGTGCTTTCGAAACTTAAAAAAGTGACCCATTCGTATTAAATCGTGTGAAAGACAATATGTGTAAACGTGCCGAACTGTGTATCACACGAGAAGGAGCTCGCTTTGAACATTTGTTAAGGTTAGTGTAGTTATGTAGGTAAATAGGTAGTTTAATGATTGACAATTGTTGTAAATAAGAATGATTCCATTTTTAAATACGCCGGAAATACCAAGATAGGTAAACAGTTCATATTATTTTTCGTGTCAAGGTCACACCATTTACCTAGTCAATAAATTGGTTGCTTAAACGAAAGAAATATCTTGGTATTTTTGCCTGTCCTAAGCCAGGATTAAAGTATGAAGGGAATTGGATCATTTTTGTTTATCTAAGGTCTAACACGCGGCGGCGCGCGGCGTTTGGATGTAGGTAAACTACCGCGCGATAACTACATATACCTACGTACATAACTGTTTTGTGTCGATAACGCAGCTAGGGTATCCACGCGATCCGTAATTAATTACATAACTTTTGGTTAACTTTACTTAGAAGTTTATTAATATTTATGTTATATTAATTTTTATTTTGTCATATATGATCGTCAACTACCACGTCCTTAAATATTGATAGTAACTCACCAGTCACCCTGTATATACATGATGTAAACGTATGTCTCGTTTTTTGTCACCAGCCGTGAACGCCAGTAAGCTATCCAAACGGACGGACCTCACTCCCAACAAGGGCGGGCCCTTCGCCGCTGCCTTACGGACCCTCGCCAAGAACGCCGGGCCCGACGTCAAAGACGGTGAGTGACGCTTACTACCTACACACAACACCCGCCCAGACACGAACTATAAATATATAATATTTATAGCTCGGGTTTATTTATATTTTTATTTTATTTTCCCCCCCCAATACGAACACTTGTTGGGTTAAAAACATCCGTCCAGTGGAATTGTCCATGTATTATATAGGGAGTTCAATAAGTTATGATTAGTATTAAGTGATGATGTTAATATGTAGTTGTAATCGAACGTCGAACAGTTGTTATATGTATCGTTAAGGTAATATATTTCTTTCAGGTTCGTTCATAGTAAGTTAATGTTAATATTAATGGTAGTACAGTAGAATAGTCTTGATGTATGTTGATCTTTATACCAAATTTAAATTTTGTATGTTTCCGTAACACGATTGTAACACAGGCCTACACATATTGTAACGTGTGTTTTTGGTTCCTAGTATAAACTGGTCCTTTATGGTGACGTCAAATGCTACTGAATATTCCATCACGTCTAGTGTACAAAAACATAAGAGAGTGCACATTTTTGAAATTTTTTTATGAGTGATCAATCAGTCAGTGGTGACCTAGTGGTTAAAGAACCTCCTCCCATGCATGAGGTCGCGCGTTCGATCCTGGCAAATATCAATGTGATTTTTCCGAGTCATACGTACTTTCCAAGAGTATTTAGACATCACTGACAAGTGAGGGAAAACATATCGAGGAAACCTGGACTTATAATTTCACAATTATAAGTTTGAAATCACCAACCCGTCTTGAGCAAGCGTGGTGATTAATGGTCAGAGCTTCTCCATGTGAGAAAGAGGCCTTTGCTCAGCAGTGGGCTCTGATAGGTTGAGGCCAATCAAACAGAAAAGTGTTAGTGTTTTTGAAGCACTTATAATTGTCCAAAATGTTTCATCCAATTAGATATATTCAGTGTAAAGTATTGTATCTTGTCTAAGATTAATTTCAACTTACAACTAAATAAAGCAGAAGTCAAACTCTCTTTAGTTAGTGATTAAATAGAACAAAACTAGTCTTATTTTTAAAGGTTGCGTATTTCGTCAAGTAATTTCACTTATCAATCAGACTACGTATTGTTGAGAAGATTTAATGCAATTAATACAAAAGTCGCTCCTCGTCACTCATAATTCAGACGACACAAAATTAATATCAACTTTGATGAATTATTTGTTTGAGGTCCACAGTCCTTGGGATAATTAACTTGGGATACTTTTGACCAGTGGCGGCCGGTGGGTAATTGAACCGGTGGTGCACTTTACTAAAATATTAAAATTAGAAAATGCAACAAAACATAAGGAGATGTCAATCACGATTCACGGCTCAATTCGTCATACATCGGGTGCTCTCGGTAATCTTCGGCCGCTCGTGCGGCGCTCGAGAACCGACTCATTACTCGGTACATTTCTATGAACTATCTTTTGTTTCACGCGTCAGGCGTATTAATGCGTATCTCATACAACATGTATTAGGAGTCCTCGTGCACTCGCCGAAGCGCACGATATGAATTTAGTAAAGCGCTCAAGCTTTTTGATCATAATCAGGAAATTTCATTTTTTATACGTTTTTATATGTTTAAAAAATAAATATTAAAATGGTAATTTAAAAATAAAGATGAAGTAATATTTTGTAATTTTTAAATCATTTGAATTGGTGGTTCAGCGCACGAGTGCACTTAAGGTACAGCCGCCACTGCTTTTGACAAATATAATGAAAACATTGACAGTTCCCGTCAAGTGCTTTAACTGATAGTTTTATGAGATATCACTTTTTTAGTTTCACGAGGAAAACGAATGATGAAAAGAGGAGTGACCTAAGAAGAAAAACGGTTGTGATGGAACAAAATAGTAATACCTTTTGATTGGATAGATAAACAGGTGCTTAGAAGTCTAAAAGGCGACATATCTCAAAGCCAGTTTATACATGAAAATAAATTGCAATAAAAAATGCTTTGTATGCCTGTGTTATAATGTACGGAGTATGGGGATAATGTTATAAAGTGGTCCTACTCGACTTGTAAGTCAGTAAGGGTCGAGTGTGGCCACTAGAGCAGCGAGTGATTCCGTGAGTACACAGGAGCGGCCGAGAGGGACCCCGCCAAGGAGAAGACGACGGCCGCGGCCAAGAGAGCCAGCCCGCACCACCTGCCCGCCAGTGGGTTCCAGCCTTACAGACCCGATGATAGGTGAGGACGCACACACAACAACGCGATTTACACACACACATACACAACATTAAAAGTACACGCACAAAACATATCGTACACTCACAACGACACACACTCCATACTCGCACAACAACGACTATACACACACAACTAAACTTCATACACTCACAACATCAGCCCGCACACGCACACACACACACACACACACACACAACAGCTGTTCATATTCACCAACAACACCCGTGTCTCATGTATACGTATCGTTCTCCCCAGACTGAGTCACCCGGCGGCCGCGTCCTTCCCCCTGCTGGAGCCGTCCTCGTACTCTCCGTACGCTCACCCCTCGCTGTACACCAGCGCCGCCCTCCAGTACAGGTGAGTACTAAAAACAGTATAAGAGTCACCGTTCACCTGGTGTCTGTACCCTGTATGTGATGTGATCGTGTGCTCGTTCCCAGGCTGGCGGCGGAGGAGCAGATGTACCTGGAGCGTGTGTTCCGAGGAGGTGTGGGGGTCGGCGTGGGCGTTGGCGTCGGCTGGCTTCCACCCTACGCGCTGTACCCCCCGCTGGCGCCGCCGCTGCCGCTGGTGCCGCACCCTCCGCACGCACCGCACCCCTCGCACCCGCCGCACCCCTCGCACCCCTCACATCCGTCGCACCCGTCACACCCGCCGCACCCACCGCTCCACGACGACCGCGAGAAGGAGATGGCCTTACAGAGGGAGAGGGAGAGAGAGAGGTGAGGAACAGTCGCGGAATATTTTATTTAAAAATATATGACCGCTTATTATATTGTTAACGATATATTCATGTATTACTAAAACGCCATAAAATTTCAGGGAGCGCGAGCAACGAGAGAAGGAGCAGCGCGAGCGGGAGCGGGAGAGGGAGAGGAGGGAGAAGGAGTCGCGCTCCCTCGGCGGAGGAGTGCACGGGCTGCACGGGTCGCCCGGCTACCAGCGGACTCTGCCGCCGCTGCTGTACCGACCGTACCGGCCCTACTACGAGGAGGCGGACGACGGTGAGGCCGCCGCGCCGCCAGGAGCCTCCGCCCCGCCGCCCGCCGCGCCCGCGCCCGCACCCGTCTGATCGCTCCCTAACTCTAACATACACACGAGATCATATTATTTTGCAAATCGTATGATTCTAGTCCAGAGAACGCGTTCAGTGTTAGAGAGATGGAGTAGCGTTATGAATACGGCCTACGTCACGGCTCACGGCGCCTCGTGCAATACAGTCACCAGTTCCTATAGACTGACCGCCAGGGTCCCAAACGATTATCCGTTATGGATATACAATATTACTATACTATGTATGTGTGGGTCGCGTGCGGTACTATGTAGTCTGTCAACGAAGCAACCTCCCGGCCGCCTCATCATATATAACATATATACCCGGGCGCCGGTCGGAAACATTGAACATTGAATGTGGAATTTTGTAATGAAACCTCTTTATACTTTTAAACTAGCTAGTTATTAATAATTGGTAGCGTGTAATAGGTGTCGACGATCCTCACGGTCTTATGTTGTAAGTGACGCGAAGCATTTAGGCGTCAACCGGCGCGCCGTGTACATATTATATTATATAGTTAGAAATATGGACAATACCTAACAAGTGAAAAATGATTCTATTGATAAATACATTCAGTGAAACTACCACCCGCATGGCGTCCCACGGACGGTACTTTTATTTTTATTTCAACCCTCTCCTCCCCCCACTCCCGGCAGCTTCACACACAGCATGTAGTTGGATATTAACACACACATACACACACACTACAACAACAAGTTAGTATGTATTTTGAAATATTAAACTTGGATATAGCTTACACTGTGTCTTTTCCAGATATGTTTTTATCTTGATTTTTTAAGTCAATTTAGTCAAAAGATTATGGAGATTAAGTAAATAATAGTCTTCATTAACGAGACCATCACTAGATCCGAGTATTGTTGAGCAACAGTCTAATTAATATAAAATTTGTAAGCTCCTCTCGAGAGTCGTTGTATGGAAATATTGAGTTCATACATTGGATGTATATAATTTTATCATCAGTAGAGGAAGATGTTCCAGAATTAAAAGTAATATGTGATAGTTGAAAGAAATTGCTTCTAATGCCTTAGAATTTAGGATTTAAACTCAAAATCAATGACACGAACTAACTTATGGCAGCTTTAGTTATCTTTGGTTCATATATTTTAGAGACTCAAACTTTCATTTTAATATTTGTAGTATAACTGGAGTCTAAAAACATCGCAATTATTCTATTAGACAAGTTCATTCTTGTTTTCAACACATAATTAAGAAATAAAATTTTTGTATAAGTAAAATATTAAACAGTTCCAGCGTCAAGAAGTCTCATGGCATATTCATTATTTTACTTATGTGATAACTTTTAAACACAGTTAATAAAACATTTTTAGGTTTGCATATACTATATATTTTGCGTGAAGGACATTAATGTAATTCAAATAAAGTTCAGGCTGAAAAATATTACATAATATTTAAGTTCTAACACGTATTGATTGGAAACCCCAGGCGATGAAAATAAAATGTTAGTTATAAAATGAGTTGCGTTGAACATGTGGCAATATGACTATAATACATGATTTAAGTTTTGGTACAAAATATAGCGTAGAAATTAGGACTCGATTAATAATTAAATTAAGGAATTAATATTATACATATTTATTTATATAGTTGGAAGTTTCATTTGACTGTGGTTCAAATTTTATTTTTATCCAAATGTTAAGAGTAAATATTTTCATTCTACTGCAACATTTGCTTACAAGTAAAATTAAAAGATAAAGGCACAGCTGAATAATTTGTTATAAACAACAAATACAATATTTTAAAGCACTATTTAATTTACCTTAACACACAAAGTTAAAGCATAGGGACTTTTAATAATAAATAAATTTAGTCAGAAATAAAAATATTAAAGCGAATAGGTTAATACACTTATTATGTTGACTCATTTTTATCAAGCCATTATCTCTTCACATTAAAATTGTGGATAATAAGACTTAAGTGATCATTACAATATCTAAAACGTTTAAACAACAGATTATAAGTCACTTCATATTCACTAGATGGCGCGCTGACTAGTCTGAACGTCGAGATTCACCCACTCGACCATGTGATCTTTAAATACAAGATCATATTATGTACAGTTAAAATTCTTAACGACTGTAATTGATTAAAACATGTTTTACTTATTAAACTGGTTACATTTGTGTTATAAACGTTTATATTATACATATAAATGATATCTCCTTACGCGTTCTTCAGTCGACGGTGTATAAATAATGTATTGTTTTTATATCCAGTGCACGTTTACGCTTTCAATAAGAACTCCTTAAAAAGACTTCAAAACCATACATAAGAATCATTTTCTACTTCTATATAACACAATAGACAATGTATTTGTGACGAATGAGTTCAGTAGGAACTATATATTCCACAGTTTTGTTATTATAAAGAGAAATTATTTAAAAAATGCGATACAATAATAATGAGACAGTGAATATTAATGACCTGTTACTTCGCTACCTGTGTACCTTATATTAAAGGCCTATAACTCAAGTTTAAATTAAATTATTATAGTAATCTATATTTTTATTGTAGTAATAATATTGCTAAACATACAAAAAATTAACTTGAAATGAACATAGTCCTATAAAAGAAACATAATTGTTTTAAAGAAAATATATTTTCTTTGAAAATGATACAATTTCAAAATATTCAAATATTTTTCTTTCAAAGTACAAGTAGGTAAATCGTCTTTGTTTTGGTTTTAATCATACACATTTCGATTCCGTTGATAATAAAGCAACTTTTTCTATTATAAAGTATTTTTTTATTATCTGTTCTGTCATTTGTCATATTACAAGACAAAAATAAATATAACGCTGAATATAATAATCTTAAAATCTATAATGTTAGGATTGAAATTGAGGTAGTTGACATATCTGTGTTGGATACCTGAGTTGATTTTTATTAATTTCGCATAAAAAATACACAAAAACATGTAAATGGCCAGACCCATACCAGATATAGATCTTCGTAACATTTCCAAAGAATTTAAGCCGACGGATGAAAGCTTTTTCGAGGACGCTATCGGTAAAGTACCAAAAAATAGAAGCAAGGATCTTATACTAGGTACGATTAGTGGTTGGTTGGTCGGACTGGGTGTGGCGAAGGTCGGAAAGATCGCTGCTTTTGGACTTGGAGGCAGTGTGATAATACTCCACTATGCCTGCGAGTTTGGCTACATCCGAGTCAACTGGGATCGGATCAGGGACACGATAGGGAAGAGTCAACAGGTTATTGAGAAACTGCAGAGGTTCGTGAAGAAACAGAGCTGTTACTCCGTTGGATTTGTAGGTGGCTTCTTTTTCGGCGTGGCGTCCGCTTGAACTGGGATTGTTATACATGTTGGTTTGTTTATACATAATAAAGTTATATATACAACAAATTATAACCTACTCTGGCCTTCAACAATATACCCACTTGAAAATGGTTATCAAATAACATGATTAAGTAGTGTCGGCTTTGTATATTTATCCATTTCTTCAGTCTCGAACAACTCAAAGGAAAAATTACTTTAATAGGTTTAAATCGTTCTTATTTCTTTACTTTATAAAGAGCATTTTTACATCCAGCACCAAAACTCTTATAAAAGTTTTAACTCCGAAATATTTTTCTAACTAAATCAGGTCATATTTTCCTGTTATAGACTTTTATTTTGATAGTTCTCAAGGGTCATATAAGAAGCATTTGTTTTTAAGGAATATTATTATTAACAATTAAATATTCTTAAATTTTGCTGTATCGATTTTTATTTCCCGTTCTTTAAATCCTGATTAGCGGTTATAATAATTATTCCATTTCTAATCGATAAAGTAAGAACAATATTCAATTGTATTATAATTGCTCGTATTTAATATCTATTTTTTTTTCTTGGCGAGAAATAATAAAGTAATAACTATTTCAAAACATTATATGAATATTTTATGTTTTTTTTTCCTAATAGAAATTAAAGGATAATGTGTATGTTTTTTCAGTAGTTTAAGTTAATTTTACGTCTCTATAATTTTTCATAAAAATCCAATAACAACATCTAATACAGGCGTCTGGGGAGAATCCGGAGATAGATTGAAATGTCTATGACTTGTTTGTCATATGGTTGCTTTTCATTTATTATTTTGAATATTTAAAAATTAAAAGACTTCAATGATGAAATACTTCGATTTTACGAATTTAACTTCGATAAATTAAGTATTCATTAAAAGTGAGACATGAATCTGTATGTAAATTAAATGATGAATATTGAATTTCTATACAAAGTTATATTTAATACAGATATGAATCTATGATAAGAGATTATTTGTCAAGAATTTAATTTTAAAGGTCTGTTTATATAAGGTGCTGACGAATTTTAAAATATAGAATAATAATAAGAGTAAAGTGACATCTGCCGATAGTTGAGTCGAAGGAGTCCACTTGAAACATTGAGTAACAATTTTGTAAGAAAAAATTAAAAACTTTAAATATATTGTATCAGTATATACAGTAAGAATATTAATACGATCACACTATCCAATATGTAATTTAAATAAGTTGCTATTCAATGAAAGTCTCTTATAAATTGGTTTTTAAGACAGTAATGAGGTTAACTATATACTGGCACTACAAGACAAATCCGTCACGTGATTCAACGAAATTTATTCTAACATTTCATTATAGTATGTTCTCAAACGAAGAAAATAGTGGCAGCTATCACATTAGGGGGTCTAAAGACAACATTTTTTAATAAAACATCATGTTGTGACTTGTAAGTGTATTATAAAAAAAACTATATGCAAATTAATATTTTGTTACAAATATTATCTCGAAAAAACAAGTATTGATTGAAAACTTTAACTTTCAAAAACCATAGCAAACCTGGAGTGAATACTTCTACATTCAGAGCTGGTTGTATCCAGAAGTTTCTGAACCCGGGTCATGTACAAGTTTTAAATTAGTACCTGCCCTGTGACATCGAAGCAAATAGTTTTAATTAAATTTAGTCAAATCTTATGTTCGTCTAAGTAACTAACTATTAACTAACTACTACAGTAGGTATCTTGTAATACTATCTAATACTTGTAAAAGAAAACGATTTCATAATATATATACCAAAAAATCATAACGGATTTATTAGGTACTAGTAAAAATAATGGTGAGAATACAAAAATAAATAAAATATTATCTTAAGAGACGAGATATCAAAACAATCTGTCTAACTCTTAAACAAAACATCGATCTACTTATCCTAAACTATTAAATTTTCTGGTTCGAACTTATACTTTTGATCAATTATAGGTATATTTACAAAAAGATTATATAAATTTACCTTAGAGATTTTTTTAAATCTGGAGAAAACTTGTCGGTCTCTATTTACCCTAAAACACTTTTAAATCAGCAATAACTAGGGAAATAATCTTGATATTTAAATGATTCTTCTATAACTGAGTACGCAAACTCAACTTTTTTTTAACGCCAGTTCTCTTTAGTTTAGATATATCCTGGTTAATACCAATTCTATGACTGTGTGACCTGACGTATAACTTACCAGTTAAATAATTATCCCATAAGTATTATTTATGTCTAATTTTTAACGAATAAAAGTTTTATAAAAGGACCTTTGTATCTTTTTTAAATAAAATATTTTATCTAATTCCATATGGATTTTTATTTACGCTTTGTTTTTTTGTATGTGAATATGTGATTACAGTGTCACAGTTTAAGGAAATTACTCGGTAGTACAAATGTTGTCAATGAATCAGTCGCCGTCGAAGCGTCAAGGACATCAATCTCAATATAATATTATACTAACTAAAAGACTTACGATAGAAAACTAATTTATGAAGTTAACTTAAAGTATTATATTATAGTTATAAACTTATCGATTAAATGTCACCAACGTCTATAAAAATAGAAAGAAGTATTATAAAACCTAGTCATTTAAAACAAAAATCAATGTTATGACTATACATATTATGATCTAAGAGATTTGTCGACATTATACATTATACAACATTAAATAAAAAAGCCAAAAAATATTATGAGTTTAATGCCACATTTAACACCGACGTTTTGTAGGTTATTCATTGATTAAATATATTTTTATGTTATGAAAAATTGATTGTAATATAACAAGCATTCTGGTAACACTTATTGGTAGTAAAAAATACGATAATACAAAATAAAATGTCGATATATAAAACGTTATCTGTCTGTATTTCCGCTTGTTTGTTGTATAGAGAAACAAAGCCATAAGCAATCGTCAAATAATAAATACATGTAGTCTTACAAATAATATAATCATTGATATATGAGTTAAATGAAAAGTGAAAAATTGGTTCTTTTATAAAACTATTGTCTTTATTATTCTAGACATAATATTATAAACGTATTAACTTTACAGCGGGTGTTAAAAATAACTAACTCGAACCTTACATGTGGTTACCATTATTCTATTCTGATAACAGGAAAGACGCTTCCATATATACGACAGAACTGTACATACAAGTTACTGGACCGATTGAATGGTGTAAATATGTTGATAAAACAGAATGTTTACTTGATAAAATAGGTTACAAAAGGATTCACTGTAATAATATTTCTTAAAAGCTAAGCTTATTTTTTTATTAAATTTAAATAATATTTCAATTTAATATAAATTGTTATTATTTTCTTGGATTTTGTCATTCTTTCCAAGTCAGGGTGTATTTTATTCTTCACGATTGTGCCAACACATTTCTTGTTGCATCTAAGTTTTACTTGTATACTATGTTTTATAAATGTACTCTTGATATTTCAGTCAGAAAAGTAATCAAAACATTTTTTTCATTAAAACCCTTGCAGGAATTTATTAAAGAAATTACTATATATAATCATTATGTACATCGTCGTCAAACTACGTCAATATTTTTTTGGTTATCTATCACATGTCGAATTACAGCCGGCATTTGATTTGAAAATCATAAAAGATAAGCAGCAAAGTTTCAATGGCGCATCAAGTAAGGCCCGTCTAAAAGAGTATTAATGTTATCAAATCGTACAAGTGCTTCCTAATACTGAAACTATTTTTTTTCTGTTAAACAGTGATCATACAGTTATAATTCAAAGTACGACATCTTCTTTATAATCAATTTAATCAATTGTTAAGATTTTAAATCAAGTTATTAACATTTGAGAAAAGTGCCAATGAATAGAAAACATTACTTACAATAATATTTTTTTTTTAAAAAGCACACTACCTATAGTATTTTTTCTTTTTCTTTATATCTGGAAAGACACATCTAATTTTTGTTATTTAAAATTCGTTATTTGATTGTATTGTGTAGTAACCGAACATCGTGATCTAAATGACGAACATAAATAAATTGTTATTTCAAAATACACACCTTAGGTACATCTCACGTAAACAGTATGACTTAGTTTTCTCCCAAAATCTTAATACAATACAGATGCTTATTATTTTCTAAAATTAATTATATACTATTTTTTTTCTATTATTTTATAGTTTCCAGTTAGCGCTTATTTCTTACATGTTCTCTCCTTTTTCCTCCGTCCTCCCTCCTTTCTCCTCTCTCCTCTTTTGTCTTGATCTTAAAACCCATTAGAAAATTAGGGGAATTTCATAAAAATTAAAGGAAAAATAGTTTAAGTAGTTTAATGACAATTTTCTGTAAATCAAATATAAGAGGAATTTTTAGGAAGTATTCCAGACTACACAAGTATTAAAAATAAATTGAAAGAGCATTTTCAAAACGATATCGAGTGTCATTTCATTAAAAGAGACATGATTATTTTATCCAAAAATGGTACTGTAAGTAAGAAACTTATATTATTTTCTTCATCATCGGAAAATAGACATTTCAAGGAACAGAAAACATATCAACTTTCTGAAAAAAGCTGATATTTTGACGGGTGATTTTCCGATTGAAAATTAGTAATTAGTTTGAAAAAATAAATATTTCGAATCAAATAAATGACAGCATATTTGGGACATAAAAAGGTACGATTTAACCAAATTTCGTGAAAAAGTGATAATTGGAAAGGATAAAAATAAAAAACCAAATTTTGAATTTTTCAAATAAATCTTGAATTTTTCAAATAAATTTAAACTTTTGTATTTACATTTTATTAACAAAAGTTATTTTGTATTTACATTTTATTAAAAAAAGTTAATAATCGCCTAAAATTATTTTTCCTTTAATTTTTTATAATATTCTCCTTTTCTAATAGGTTTCAGGCTACTATTTTTTTTTAATTATCGACACTGGTCTTTAAATCAATATAATCTAGACATCGCTTACAAGGGATAGGTTTATTAAAACCTGCTCATGAAATTTCAAAGAAGCATTTGGGTGACACAGAGACGAAACTTCTCAGCATTTCATGTATTCACCGTGCGGGTGCCGGGTCCATCGCGTTGCAGGGAGAGGAGCTTCAACAGTGCCTGAGACTTGCGACCCAGGCGTAGGTTTAAGGGGTCCCTTATCTAACGCGCGTAATATACGCTGCTCACCTCCACTGTCTAAGCTCCTCTCTCTACCTAACCAAATTTTAAAAGAGCCTACTAGGGCTGCCTTCGATGTACGTTCCAAGAATGTATTAATATGAGTTCTGGACAAGCCCAAATATTTTAGTAGGTTGTAGAGAGATTTCGCTATTATACCTCTCGCTCCCACCTCTACCGCGTACAATTTCACGACGATCCAGTCCAGTTAATGCACATTATAACCCGTGTTAATAATTAATAAGTAACCTTTGATGTGAAGATAATCTTATATGTTACTGATTAAAAGGTCAAATATATCAAATGAAGTCAAAATGCACAACTTGGGCAATGAATGATTTTATAAAAAGCTTCACTCTTTAATTTTCTTTATTAAATCGTATACGAGAACAGACCTTATTTTTAATTTCTTATAAATTTTTGTCTCTGATTCTTAATAAACTGAATTTTTCTTTTAAATAATAATTCAACATTTTATAATTCTCGAAGTATAAGAAACCAAGTTACCAACACATAATATATGTAAATACTTTTTGTGTATGGATGAATAAAAAAATGTATTGTTTATGCGTTCAATGTTCCAAAGTTTAGAACGCATATAACCGTTTTCATGTTAAAACTATTTCCAAGAATTATTGTAACTGAAGTTACTTTTTATTTTTACAGCGAGACAAAACAAGATGCCACAGTCACAAACACCCACAGAAGAAGAAAAACCAGCCTCGGAGCCAGCACCGGTCCCTCCCACACCCAAACCACCAGAATCTTTGAAGCCGGAGGAACCTCCACCATTTTTAGAAAATCACACTTTCACTCAACCAAAACCTATATCTCATTCGCCAAAAATATCACCCTCATCGATACCCAATCCAAATCCTAGTGTGACAACGACGAAACAGGTGGAACCAGGCTATCCAAACTATGGTGGTTATATGTACTCAATGCCTGGTTATTCTGCGTTTCAACCAGTCTCATACCAGGGAATAGTTCCAGCCTCCAGTACATTGCCGGCGTCGAATGAAACTCACAAGAGTGAATATACACCCTATCCTATTACATCAGGAAAAGATGCGGGAAATAATGAAAAAAAAGAAGTTAATTGTAATGAAAGCACATCATCTATTTCCTTACCGAAACCGCAGACTGACTTTGAAGAACGTTTCACCCCTGAAGTTATTCCTGCAACAACTGTAAGTGAAGCAGCGAAAGTTCAGGTAACAGAAGCAAAAATGACTGTGACTTCTTTGGCACAGGGATCTGGAGCGATAGTTACCATTCCAACACAAGGAAACACCAACAAAGATTTCAAAAAGAAACCATTGGAACGATTCAGTTTAAAAACTAGCATACCAATTAGCAAAATAGATATGAAATGTGTTAATAACACTTCAGAGGCGATGTTCCAAAATAATTTAAAAAAGCCTTTTAATCCAGCATTTCATACTCCAGCAGTTAAGGAAAATGGCCCAAAAATTGAAATACAAAGCAATATCGTGATCAAAAATGCTCCAAAAGAACCTGAAAACAAAGATATTTCTATTATGCCAGTACCAAATAATAGTATAAGCACCCTTATTAATGCAGCAGAAGCTATAAATAAGACTGAAACAAATTTTAAGAAACCTGATTCAAAGTCTGAGTTATTCCCTGAAAACCAAGAACAATATACATCAAATGCAAGTACTCCTACCCGTCCTCTTTTTAATCCAATAAATTTAGAACCTAGTAAAGCAAATTTTACACCTAAACCTGCCGACCCTGCTTTTAACGAAACCAAGAATATTTTGTTCATACAAAACAAAAGTCCGTCTAATTCTAAAATGTTGTTAACAATCCATCAGCAAAATTCGCAAGGATTGGGGCAAAAATCTAGTTATGATCAAAAAAACCTGCAAACTCCTTCACGACCGTCTAGCCAAACTAAAAATTGTAAAGAAGAAGTAGTTGAAAACGGAACCTCTTCAAAAGTAGTGTCATTAAAACGTATGCACCAAGACAACTACGACGAAAATGACTTTGAGAATTTAATTACTGAAAATCAAATTTATGGCAACAAGATAGTCGTGAAGGAGAAGTCACAGGGCACTTTACAAGAACAAGATTTGAAAAACAAATCCAAAATAGAAAAGACTACCCTTGATACAAAAAATGTTGTTTTGCAACCGAACTTTGTTTATTTAAGTAATGTTCAATTTCCTGCAAATTTAATGATGATTAAAAATAATGCTAAACCTAACAATAGCGAAACGAATAAAGCTCGAGTGTCAGGTAACGAAGTTAAACAGAGTGAGGGAACAGTAGCTTCAAACCCAGAGGTTACAACCAAATTAATAAAACCTCAAAGTGTACCAGCTACAAAGGAAGTTAATATTTTAAAAACTAATAATAATGTGATACAAACTGTAACTAATAAACTTAATAACACGGATGCATTGTTTCAACCAGCCAATCAAAAAGTTATAATGAATCCTCAAATAGTTTATCAAGTTCCTATGATGATGGATACAGATAGCAAAACAGGTCAAACATTAGGTAAAAGTGACTGTCCTAAAGGAGTGGCACTTGAAAAAAAAGATGGACAAAAAACTTTTGAAATAACAAATACAAATGACAAACTGTTCATAGCATGTCCTTACCAAATGGACTCTAATCTACAACCCAAAATAGTTATAACGAATGTGAGGCCTAAAATACCAAAAACTGAAGAAATCAGTTCTATAGACATTTATGAACAAAGAAAAAGAATACGACGATTGAAGTACTTGTCGAACCGAGATTCAAAGAATAATACTAGTGATAATTTAAAAGAAAACAAGAAAAATCCAGATCATACGAAAAATATTATTACACCAGAGAAAATGGGAGAGGAAATATCTAAAGAATTTGCTGAAACAAAAATTTTATTACCAGAAGAAAGCAATGAGAGCGATAGTGATTATGGTGACGACGATCTAGAAAAATATAATTCTATCATAAAAGAATATAGTCGATGTAATAATATTAAAGAAATCGAAAACAGAAAAGTGGAATTTCTTGCCAATTTTAGGTTGGCCACTCAAGATGAATGTAGAGGTAAGATTAGAAAATAATTTAAACAAAAACCGTTTCTAGTGTATTTGAGCTAAGATATACTATAAAGTCCAAGTAATCATGAATGGCTTATCAGGGGGGATTTTTTATTTTCAGAAAGAGAGTTAGACCGTCAAGAACGAGCTATAAGAAGAGATTCTGTTGCCTCCGCCTACATCGCAGCAGGTCGTATAGACTGTCTCACTAATGAAAAAAATTATTCAGAACAAATTTACGATGTTCCCTTATTTAAAGAAACAAAAAAATATTTAATTGAAGAAGACTTGGACGAGATGCAAAGGAAAAGGAAGTTCTTAACAAATTTGGACCTAATTAAAGTTTCAACTAAGTATAAAGAGGGTACATCTATTAATATTGATTAAACTAATTTTCAATTATTTAGGATGTTTTGAAAGACGACAACTAATGTTCTGATTTTATTTTTATTTTCAGGCTACGAAAAGATTTGGCAAGAAATTATCAGGGAAAGAAAGCGCAGGGACAACCCGATGGAATCCGGGCGTGTATTAAAATTACCGAAGCTGGAAAAACATGTTGTGGAAATAGATCCAAACGATCAACTACAAATATTGACGGAAATAAAAAAACAAGTAAATGAAAACAATAACCTCATAAAGAGGAGAATGGATTCATCGTGGGATGACGGGGACAGTATTAAAGTGCTAGCGGAGAAAAATTTTTCGGAATTAAATAGATTATCCAAAATGGCTGACAGAAGCGTCAAGCATTTCAGTGGACAGGATACAAAAAAGAGGGATTTAAATCCTGGTTTCGACAGCGAGAACATTCAAAGACCTTTAATAACCGGCAAATATTATCCAAATATAAACATACCAAACATAGCTAAGATCATTTCTCTTAAATCTACTGAATCTCCCAGTGCTACTGCCTCGAGTCAGGCGACATCTATGGACGAACCTCTGAACTCAGCGGCCGGTGTGAGTGAGATGTTCACTGCTGATAAAGTAAACGATTTTAGTTGTCAAGTCGAGCTCACAAACTCCTGGCCCGGCGTGGAGGCCTTGATGAAATATTACAAGGATTACGAAGCAGGTAAATTGGTATAGGTTACTGCTGTAGAGCAAAATCTCTTTAGTAGAGACTTTTTAGGTTTGACGCTCGTGTGTGAAACAAATCAAAATATATTTATGATAAAGGAAATGTTTTCTCGACTACTGTTCATCAATGTTATCAATGAAGTGTTATAGTGATCTTAGAAATTATACATATATCACGTAAAAGCCTATTACAACTGTTTAGACTGTACTTTCAGCTCGCAAGAAGGAGATCTCTGATCTTCAACGCCGCAACACAGCGCTACGTGTCGAGTGTGCTCACACAACACGAGCGGCGTCTCGGTCAGCGGATGGTGCTCGAGCTTTACTCGCAGAACGAAGACATCTGGCTGATGAAGAGAGAGCAGCCGCTGCTGACTTACAGTGGATGTATGACGTCATACATGCCGTCAGGAACTGTGACAGTTAGACTAACACATCTACAACACCACTATTATAGACCTGGCCCTGCTATCTTACACATATTTTAAGTTCTCTTCTGATTTGACATATAGATCTTTTGTTTATAATATTCGATACAATCCTATATCTTTTATTTACACATATATTTCATGTTCATCACATTTTGTCCAATTAATTACTATGTTCTCAATGTCGCTCAAATTAAAATGATCATTTGAAAATTGAAGCCTATACAAAGCAAAAAATTGTTCTCTTTTATAAAAAAAAAAAGGAATATATCATTAGTACTGTAAATAATATAAATTAATGACTTCGCTTTAAAAGTGGACCGTAATTCGGATAATTCTATAATATAATATTTTACAAATATGATTATGTATTGTAGTGCCTACTGTTATTTTTGTAAAAAGTAATTAGATTATGTGCAATATTTATGAAACAAGTTTTATCGAAATAAAGGTGATTAAATGAATTTCAAATCTTTTTTTCTGTACTCATTTACAAAGTTAGGTAGTTTTTGGTTTCGTCATGATAATTTTTGCGGCACCGTAAACTCTAATCAATGGAAGATTTTATTTTTGATAAAAATGTAAAATTAAATGGTATAAATAAGTGAAAACATTTTTGTTTTTAACATATTATATTAGAAATATTTTGGTACAAATACATTGATTAGCTTGAGTTTGTGATCGTTCAGCTTCTTAGCCGGTTAATCAGTTGACTGATGCGATGCGTTGAAATGATCATTCCCTGTCTCTTTGTCCTTTTGGTTTTCAGATAAACCGTCTTTCTGTCATTCGTCATTTTCACATGCTGGCTGGTCACCAGCTTAGTTGGCCGGCTGATCTTGATGTTTACCAAATGGTTTAATTACAGAAATAGGTTTCGCATTCTTATCAACCCAAAGCAAAAATGGACCCTTGAGCCGTAACAGACATCGTAGATGCATATCAGTTTTGACCTCAGTCGTCTGTGATTGCGGTGGTTCTTTTTTTAATAGAGATCTGTATAATTGTTGTATGTATAATTTGTCTTTTCCTTTTGTGGTCATTTTGCCAAACATAACATTCAGCTCTTCCACTGGCTCGGTCTTATTATCAGGTATGGGATCAGGTTGCACATCTGTTTCAACAGAGAAGAAGGCTTTCGAATCAACACACAGTACATCGCTTGGAAAGGTTTCGTCGGCTCGTTTATATTCCGTTAGTAATACCTTTAAATCAAATCTATTCCCGTGTAAAGACACCAGACACACGGGCTTCGGAAGATCTTCAAGGAATTTGTTCACGTCCTTAATAACATCTCTAAAAATCGGGTGATTCTTTAAATTATCGGCTGACAATCTAGGATTGGATTTAACTTTTTTAACGTCCACAGTGACTTGAGGGTTGATCGATTGAGTCATTGTATTCGATGGTTTGAAACCCTCGCTATCACTTTTTTCAAATACCTCCCTTGGAACTTCCATTAATGTGAACTCTACTATTTTAATGTTATCTCGTTTCTTAACTGTGTATCCAACAGTGTTTATATCAAACACTACAAAAGTTTTAATATACATTGTCACAAACGGAACGACCTCGCTCTTGCAAATATGTATAAACTGCGTATGATGCATGATTCCAATAGAATAAAGATAACAGAAAAACAGGAAATAGAGAATCAGCGGTATATTATACTTAATAGGATGGAAAAATAAAGAGTATCAAAGTGTTATTTGGTTAATGCAACTTAAACTGTTTTATGATTTGACTGAAGTATCCGAAAAAAAACTTCATTTATTTAAGAGCTTTTACAAAAAAGAAATCCATACTTAACAACATACTTGGAATTTTCAAAATGTTCAGACAAATTTACATGTACGGAGTAGGTACCAGATACATCAATCATCATCAAGGTAATAAGGTTCAAAACTATTATTTATTTAAACCATTCCGACTTATTAATCTTTGACGCCTGATTAATGACTAATATACCTACTACCATATAATATATAACAATGATTAATTTTCAAGGTCACTCGTGCAATATTGAACTTGACATAGGAAAACAATATAATTTGCCGAAATTAATTCGCTGGTAAGTATGTAGGTGTACGACAGTAATGCAATACCTTCTTCTTCTTCTACCTGGCAATTTCCCAGCTATAGCCAAGGTCTGCCTAACGGTAATGCAATAGTAAAAGTTTATCCATATAAGTGATTTTATCAGTATATATATTGCAATACCGTCAATATATACTATTTTTCAGGCGTCGTGTACAGGAACATTTTGCTCAGAATCTGCATTAAGTCTCCGTTTTTATTATTGTTTTTGGTATATAATGTATATGTATGTGTATGTATATGTATCTATATATATGTGTATATATTATTTATATATCAATAGAAATTTATATGTATATTTTTACTTTTACTGCAACAGTCTACACGTTTTTCTGCTTTGCCTAAGAGTTGACTGGCAGAGAATGACTTCAGGCATTAAGTCCACCTTTTGTATCTACGTGTGTAGTTAGACAATAAAGTTTTTAAATAAAAAAAATACTATATATTGCATTATCAGAGTATATTGACGGCAATGCAATATATACTGATAAAATCACATATGGAGAAACATTTATATTGTCAATATTAATTAAGAAAGTAATCGCAATATAGTTAAAATAATTAAAGGCTAACTCCTAAAATATACCTAATTGATGTTGTAAATGTATGTAATAGATTTGTAATGTATCCGGCATATCTTCCGGGTTTATAAATACGTTCCATTTTTAAATTATTACACTTAGAATAACTCTAACAAACTTATGCAATTTTGCAAAACTTAATTTTCCATTTTTCCATTTTGCAAAATTCTAACAAACTAGTAAAGTAATAATAATGTTACAATTACAAAAATACATAACTCGGACCCACCATGACGCAGAGAGGGTAGTTCTATCTCTAACCATACTTTATGTCTATAAAAGTTAAATTGAGTGAGAAAAACGGACTTGAGTGAAGTGAGTTTGAGTTAGGTTTTGAAAACTGCTGAGCCAAGGACTGGCGAGGTAAACTCATAGAATTTCTTAAAAATATTGTCATATGTATCAATACCATTCCAAATTCTTAAAAAAGTCATCAAGTAAACCTTTTCAATCAAAAATAATGATATCACCTCTTAGAAAACTACTGTAACTTCAACAGCAGATTCTCAGTGAAAATGGTGTAATGGACGTTAGAAAAAATATTACCAAAAAACTAAGAAGTGTGACTTAATACCTTGGCATATTCCTGACTTGGACAAGACCTGTCATACACTGTTATATTAAAATAAATTTTTAAACAAGAAATCTTGAATATAGGTCTAATCAGTTAAAGATAAGGAAATAAATCATCGACTACAGTTTAAAAAAAAAGATTGAGAAAGTAATAAACAAAACATCTAGTTAACAGGGCAGTTTACTACATAGAACTCCTACTTTTTCGTGGTTACATAAATGATCTATGCTTACCTACTGGAGCTTCCAAACATCAACATATCTGAAGTTAAATACAAGTCGAGTTGGTTTAATTTTTCAAGGCAGGTAGTTTAAATATCTAGGAGTAGGTAAATCTGTATGTAGTCTGTAGGGTACTGCGGCCTAATACGAGATAAACAACTTGATAGGCTAACAGATAGGATGATTCGCCCTATACTTATATATTTAAAAACCTGAGAAAATCCTTACTGTGGACTGTCAAGCAAGGATTTAACAAGACAAACTTTTTGAGAGTAGGAAGTGTACAAAGTAATGTTCTGAATTTATATAGAATAAATATTATTTGAACCTAACGGACCTACTGTATTATCTTTGGGTTCTCATCAGTTCTCCAGATCATTGTTTTACATTTTCTCCTCAGAAGCAGTCCTCGGAAAACAACACCACTTCAGCTAAACACCAATAAAAAAACTATAAGTATACACCTACACATCTATAAAATATTTAGAAACTGCTTAAAATAACATAATAATAATAGAAACAGAATGTTAAAAATAGAAACTTCATTAACTTATTTCAGTTCGTATTTATATCTTTACTTCTTCATATAATTACAATCATTTCTGACACACACATACACGTACACGTTTATCAAATTCCAAATGAATACACAAATTACAGTTCTACGTAATTCTATTAATACATAGTTATCACTTATCACTACGTTTCACTTAAAACGAAATAGAATACATAATTTGATTATAGCGACCAACACTATTTATGTTTGTATCATAAATGAATTTTATTTAAATAAATTTTATACTGTAAACTAAATGTGAATACTCGTATAAACTTTCGTTATGCACCTTGTAACAGTGTCTAATTATTTAGTTGTAACTAAAACAATGAATAAATATTTTAGGTTAATTTATTTCGTTGAAAAATTTAGTGACGTTAGTGTTTTATTACACGAATATTTAATTTATAACTGCTTGAAATATCTATGGAAGTTTTTCTACATTAAGTAAATCAGACAACAGACGAGATGAAACCTCTTAGCATTTCATGTATTCACGGTGGTGGTGCGCCGCGCCGGGTCCACAGTTGTAGTGAGAGGAGCTTCAACAGTGCCTGGGACTTACGACCCAGGTGTAGGATTAAGGGGCCCTGTCTAACACGCGTCAAAACCTCACCTCCATTGATTGAGTACAAATTTTATATGCACTCTGGTTATGTGACAAATAAAAAGTTTATTGAGTGCATTATTAATGAATATGAGTCATAAGTAGATGAAACACATCCGTTTCTTTTAAGTATATTAATACAATAAAATAAGTATTATCTATTATTTATGTACAATACTGTTGTCTAGTTAAAGATATTGAATATTATCAAGCGATACTATAAAAAAAGAAAATATGAAAAAAAATCTCACTTTAGTTTTTATGTATGTTTAGGTTAAGAAGAATAAATAACTTTAAAAAATACTGATTACAAACAAACCAATTTGATAATTCTTACAAATTAATAAAATAATTAAAGTAATATGTTTATTAATCACACTTATACACAATGATGATTAATAGAAATATAGGATGAAGAAATACCTAACAGAATCTAACAATGTGATTGTAAAATGACTCAAACTACCGAATTTACAGAAGTCAGACTGTTCACGAGCAAAAAAAGGACTCGACAAAACTACATATATGTATAAAAATAATAAGTAGGTAATTTATTAAATCAGAGGAGGGTTACTTATAGTATTATATTAGTATGTATCAGTATAATACAAAATGCTGGAGTTAATTCTCATTTTTATGCTCTTTGTGAAATATATGAGCAACTCCTGTTTGTTTTTATACAAGTCTTATTTCATTGTAATGTGATGGCTATGATAAAATTTATATATTTTTTATTGAGGGAAACTTCTATCAATTGATAATCATGGTGTATAATTTAAACCATTCAAAATAACATCTGTTAAAAAAATAGTATATTTTGAGCCCATAATCTTATATAAGAAATTGATATTATATAAATGTTAAAAATAATATAAGAATTATATAAAATATATTAGAAAAATAGAAATATTTTAAAAAATTGTCTTGGCAACATTCTTGGTAAATAAATTCATTCATTGGTAATAATTTTTACTAGATTGGTAATAATTTTTTTAAATATGTGTTTTTTTTATTAACAATTGAGCAATTATTGGGATATCTGATAAGGGTTAACAAAAACAAATTAAGAAACAAATAAAGCTTTATTGTGTATAGTAAAAATATAAATTTAAGACAATAGTCAATATTTGTAATAATATAAGTACATAAATTTGTGTTTTTATTAAAAATATAAAGCTAACATTATCTAAAAAAACAGCACCAAATTGTGAAAACGTACATAAATATGTACAAAATGTCATTTAAAATAAAAATTTATTATGAATCTTTGGTGTGACATAAAAGTTCAACTATCTGTGCTATGCATTACAACAATAAATTCTGTATATAATAAATCTTAAAAAACATTTGTATATAGATTATACATTTGTGATTTCAATAGTATATTTTTATTATGCTTGATGCAGCGGCACGCCAATGGTCATAGGTTGTATACGACTGAATAAACAATTGTTCCGGTCTATCCAATCTACAAATTGCTTTGACAAAGCCGCAGCACATTCCAGAGCTAATAAACAGTCATTTTCAGCACGGTGAGGGTTAAGGGCTGTCCGGTTCAACAGTCTCTCATATATATATTTCAATTTATATTTATCTTTCGGCCTATTCCCATCTGCCCATGGGAATCTCCTTCTGACTCGTGAGCGGTTAATACCTCTTTTAATCGGAGTCTCAGGGCACACTTTGGTAGGTGATGATGTAGGAGAGCTCTCATTAGTGGCTTGTATGTTCTGTGAATTATCCGACTCACTTTCTATGTCTTCAAGTTTTGGGATCGAGTCTTTTCTTTCCATGATGTGGTAAAATGCATGAAAGCAATCAGCACACTTTACATCTTGTGCAAAACTAACACCAAGTTTTTCGAAATGATTTCTTAATATAGGGAAGTCAAAATTGAGTCCATTCTGTGCGACTAAACAAATAGGTTTCATGAGAAGGTTGATAAACGAGTTCAGAGTGTTGAACAGGTCTTGATTGAAGGTGGGTTCGTATTCCAGGAGATCATTGCAGAGGCCCGAGACTTTCGTTGCACCAGGATCTATGTACTTTCCAGGATTAACACAAAGTGTAATTCTCTGCTGCACTCTAGGGGAATAACCGGGTCGAGTGTCGAGTAAATGTTCACGTTTTACAGCAACTAGACTTATTTCAGTTATTCTAGTCTTATTATTTTCTTGAACAGGCATTCCACTTGTTTCCAGGTCTATAAACACATAAGTTCGTATTTTAATAGGTTTGTATTTTTTAGGCATCACGATAACAATTAACAACACAACACCCCGAAAATTTTACTGTTTAAAAAATTACTGTTAACACCACGAAAAGTCGTTAACAATAGGACGAATTTGCAACTGTTTTCTTTATCAATAAAACATACCAAAAAACAAAAATGAAAAGTGACTAAAGTAAAAGCTACAACATGTAGTACCGTGAACTAAACCCTGATAAGTGATAAAAGGTTTTGACTTTTTAGTGGTTGTTAAAGTTGCTAGCATAAAAAAATTATGTAACTTTTATTATAATTTTAATTTTATTTACGGAGTTTTATTAATTCAAAGTTTTTAAAACTGTATTCTTTTTAAAGTCCTTTTCTAAATATATATACAAAACAAACGTTAAAAATGTTTTTATTAAATATTTGTTAGGTGGGCCGTTTTATGTAATGGCAACACTGTAATGTTATAATTACGTCACCGGTTTTACCCAGATACAAGATAACATGTGTCTTCTGGAATAATTTGGGTTTTCCAAGCTTTAATTTTACCTATTTGTAAATTAGTTTTAGGAACTTCGGGACACTTATGATGTTGGGTTTATACACTCGAAGCTATAAAGGCTGAAATTACAGCTTAAACGTGGGAATGAAGATGCTTAATAAAAATAGCGTTCTTATATTTTATAATATATAAGTAGATATACAATTTTCTAATCTATCAAAAGCCATTGAAAAGGGAAATAAAGACACACTATTTATTGTACATGTATGTATTTTCTTAAAAACTAAACACCTGTTGTATCTAAAATACATTATATAGTAACTCTTTCGTGTATCTAGAGTAACAAAAATATGTTTTTACTGTCTAAATAAATATGTCTCATTGTTACTTTCTTTTGCTTATTGAAATTCAAATTGCGTTTGACATAATAAATCGATATAGTTTTGTTCGTCTTTAAAAATGCGTATTAAATTCTGATTTTATAAAAATAACATTTCTTATTACTGTACCGTTATTAAAACTATGATATTTAAATAAGTATTAAATTGTTGAAGGTATTTGTATTAATGACATAATTACGGAACATAAGCCGTTTTGACATTTAACATGTCCGTAACAAAATCATTTTAACTCAATTAACAAAGTATTAACTTTTATTTATTTATTGAACCCGTGATTACCTACTTGGCAAATACATTGAAACGCTTTATGTGATGTTTACTAATAATACAAAATTTTGATGTGAGCATGCTATTTTTCTTAGTAGAATCGCTTTATTTTTTATTTGTTTTATTTATCAGTAAGAAAAAATGTTGTATGCCCTTTTATAATATAATGATCTTGGTAAATATTTTTGCCTTTTTATAAAACTATACAAATTATAGTTAGGTTTTATAAATAACATTCTGGCTTGCATTATATTAAAGTTGACGTTCCGTTTGAGCTGAATTTTTTGGGCATCTTTTAATCAAAAAATATATGAATCTCTTTGGTACAGAGAAATAATATTGTGTGTACTTAAAATATAAAATTTTCTTCTAATATCTTATCATTTTCTCGTTATATTAATATTTTTCTTGTTACAAGGACATAAAAATATTTGCGGCAATAGATTTCACCATAAACAATTATTAATTAAGAGACAGAAGCTAAAATATATTAGGAAAATCTAGATTGAATGACATTAAAGTTCTATTGATATTCGGATACCAAATTTCATAGCCCATTGATTGATATACACGTCCAAGGCACATATTATATTGATAAATTTAGTGGTAAATTAATATTAAATAAATATATTGCGATATCTCCTACTAGTTATTTATGACATTTTGATTTGTATTTAATATTCTTAATATATTTTTATAAAAACCTTACATTTAATTGACACAATTCTTACGCGAGACAATTGGCTAAAATTATATTGCTATTACGAACATTTAATTACACAAATATTATATATAAAAACAATTATACACACCAATAAGGGAAAGCTCTTCCATTTGCGACTATTTTGTTACCATATAACAAAAAAACAAATTAATCTTATTATTTTGTTCTCTCTATACATATACAATATATATAAGTTTTTAACCACATATTACTTTTTTTTTCGTAACATACATTGCTATATTTAAGCGGCGATAAATATACATTTTTAATCTATAACGTACTAACATCTGGTTCATTTATAAATTATTCCAATAATATAAATATTCTGTATCAATAATACCTTGAGCACACCATTTAAAACATGATATTAATCTAAAATTACATAATATGAAATATCGTTTTGTTAAACAATATTCGTAAAATTTTTCGGGGGCCAAAAAGCTAACCTTTTAACGCAACTCCGTGAATGGTTAATAAACGTCAATCGATCTCATTTCTGTCAGTTTGATGTTTGAATGTCATCGTTGGTTTTTGCGTTTCCTTTTAAAGAGCAGCCAGGATCCTTGCAAGGCTTCGTTTATTTGGTTCTGGGTCTTGCCTTTAGTTTCTGGTATCACCAAGTAAATGTATGCAGCGCCGATGAGTGTGATTGAGGCGCAGATGTAGTATGTGGCGTGGAGACCGAGCGAGATGGCGATAGTACCGAAGTAACGAAGTATAAGGAAGTTACTGATCCACATCCAAGCGATCAGAAAGCTGGATGCTAGACTGCGAACCTGGTGGAAAAAGTTACATTAGTACTGTCATATAATGCTTTTTCTAACTAGCAAGTCTTTCATAGATATTCATTGGATAATCTTGGATATTTAAATGTAACTAATATTTTTCGGATTATAGTACGCGACTTTATTTTTGTAAAAATCTACATGCACCCGAAGTTTCGGTTACTTTACAGCAACCGTGATCACGGGCAAACGAGATGTGAATATCTGTCAGTTGGTTTTGTTATAGTTGTCTAGTTGAATCTGGTCGTTAAAATTGAATAATATCTATACATCTTTGAATAGATTGCTTTAGAAGACTGTTATTCCAAGAACAACGTGACTTAAAATAATTTTCTTCTAATAGAGGTTGAATTATTAAAGTATGACGTCATAAAACTCACGTGAACCGAAAATAGTTCCGATATAAGAACATAAGGTACGGAACCCAATCCAATGTTGTACAGAAATAACACCATAGATAAAAGAACCACTGGCAACCATATTGTAACCTCTTCTTTGTCACCGGTTTCTTCGTATTTTACTGACATGTCAGGTTCAGTGAGATTGTGATCTTCTGAACTAATTCTATACCACGGTTTCGTGTTATCATTTAACATCGGTACTGTTGTGTTATATAACGTGTAATTCGTAGGTATATCTGTTTTGTCTCGCATCACTTTCTCCTTGTAAGTGCTCTTCCTCAAGGGCCACACTCTATGAAGATAGCGAGAGTGCATCCGTAACTGAGGGTCACAGTAAATACCAAGAACTGTTAAACCGAATGCGATGCCGGAACAGGAGAGAAGCAGCAGCGTCTGAAATTATAATTTATTAATGGTTAATCTTAAAAGAAATTTTATACGAAGTATTACTCTATATTTGTAATGCCGGGCATACACGTTACGTTCTACCGGAGAGGTCCACCTGTGAAGATAGACTTGAATGTGTGTGGGTGTAGACCTGTGCAGTTTTTCGAACGCTACCATTGTTCGGTTCATCTGCACAGGCTTACCTGCACATATTACCGTAGCGTGTATGGCCGGCATAAGATTTTTTCATATTTTTTCTCGTAACAAGTGTTAGAAAAGGAATATATTAGGTAAAAGTATAGAACTAGTTCATATTAATGTCAAAGTTCGTACCTTTCTGCCAACTTTATCGACGGTAACCGTGGCCACTGCCGCGCCCAGTACGAGGGCTGTTCCACACAGCATGGAACCAGCTTCAGACGACTCGAATAACGCTTTTGGAACTGTCCTGTGTATTAAATGTTTTAAGCATTTTTCCTGAATCAAGTTACTTTTTGATATGAAAGATATCGTCCAAATAAACATTGTATTTATTACATAATTGTAAGTTCCCATATATAACCCTATGACAATACAACTGTTCTATTGAATAAAAATCCACCACGCAGTACCAAAAAGCACCAACGGAAGCAGATTCAAAGTTTTAGTTCCAAATATTACGTTATTAAGTTTTAATACCCATTATATATGGTGAAGTTGTAAGCTGTGTCGTTGAGGACGGGCACTCGGTGTGCTGAATGCCTCACGACTGCTGCTGCGAAGCTGTTGACAGCACCAGCACCCGAACCAGCAGCAGCGGAGACCACCACCACACATGAGAGGAGCGCGCGCCGTGATGACGAGCGACGAACTGAACACCACATATACATTAGATAAATAGGTTTCTGGGTATTGGCTTTATGGACATCAGCCATAATTTCATTAAAACTAGACAGCTTTGTATATAGGTTTAATAAGTAAGTTTCTTAGGATCAATTTCACCAAACTCTGTTTGTTAAATCTAAACGAGGCATTTACTGACGAACTTTCAGAAATATGTTCTTTAAAAACACATTAGTTCGTGGGATGCTCGATACATCTAACAGGGCAACAAACGCCTTAACATGTTATTTATTTAACATTGATTCGTCAAACTGGGTTTTAACTTTGCAGATTGTGGGCAGTAATTGTTATAACTCCTCGATTTAATGTTTTATCATGAAACTATCAAATGCAAAGCATATTTTTGTCCTTGCGATATAAGCGAATGCTTTCTTTCTCATATCAAGGTATCCATTTATCTAAGTCTATGCTTCCTTTCACTTACAATTTGTGGTTCAAGGAAAGGCTTGTATCGAGAAAGTACGGTAACCATCTAAGGCAACATTTCTACTAATCACCAAATAAGATAGCTGATCCTATCCAATTCTAATTAAAAATACATATAATAATATTTGTCAAACCCACATAATTCTTTGCACACAGATTGGTCGTCTTTTTCCTTATCTGAGTTAGACTCGAGGCCGCTAATTCTCTTCAGCATGGGTCTAAAAGTATCCGAGTCCTGTCTTCTCAGTAACTCCTTCCTCCCGTAACCTTCTGAGATCCGTATCTTAACCTCTTGTTGCTCAATCACGTCTGTGAGATCTTCTCTGAAGTCCGAACCGTCAAACCAGCACATAATCTTCGCAGCTTCCTGAAATTTTATATAAAATACCATTTTATGATTATGGGCTTATCTATCGGTAGACAAATCTTAAAACAAACGTTCAAATACTTCAGACTAATTGAATCAAAAATTTCTGTCAACTATATTATTACTAGCTTTCCGCCCGCAGCATCGCCCGCGTGGAGTTCGGTTATATCGCGTTTCCAAGAGAACCTTTCAGAAATCTGGGATAAAAACTATCCTGTTCTTTCTCAAGGTCAACTCTATCACTTGTTCCAAATTTCATTAAAATCAGTTCAGTGGTATAAGCGTGAAAGCGTAACAGACAGACAGAGTTACTTTCGCATTTATAATATTAGTCGGGATGACAAGATTATTGTATTGATTTTATCTGTTATTAAAAAATCAACTCTAGTGTTCTTTACATACGTCATAGAGTTGAATAAATATAAAAAAGTGTTTGATACCTGAATTTTTCCAATACTAATAAGAAACGAAGGTGTCTCTGGCAGCCAGATCAGTGAGAACAGTAGTATAGCAGGCGGAACAGCCATCGACAGTGATAAGGCGTGCGCGGACAGCATCCCACCAGCGGTGTACGCGAATAATATGCCACAACTGAAACATTGGAATATATACAGGGTGACTGGTGAATTACTATCGATACTTGAGGACGTGATATTTGACGATCATATATGACAAAATAAAAATTAATATAACATAAATATTAATAAACTTCTAAGTAAAGTTAACCAAAAGTTATGTAATTAATTACGCATCGTGTGAACACCCTACAGATTAGGTATACACACACACACACACGCGTGCGGCGGCGTGGTGTTGTATCAGCACGCCACCGCACGCGTCCACACTTGGAACTCTTGGAACGTGTCCACACTTTATTTATTTATCCGGAAATTTTGTCAAAAATTAAGTACCTATTTTTTTTACATAATTCGAATCATGTACCGAGTATTCTCCTTAAATATTGATAGTAATTCACCAGTCACCCTGTATATATCACTGATCTAATATCGAAAACTTTGATTCGGACATAGAATCAAGTATATTAAATCTAGGAATGAAATTTTAATTACATGGAACATATGACTTCAAACATCAGTTTAATTATATATTTTAAATATAATAACAACATACATCTATTACAGTGTTTTAAAATTGTTGATTATTATAGAAATATTTTTTACATAAGTTAGAAGTTAAATTAACCGCGTTTCTGTTTCGAATATTATTAGATAAATATTATATGAAAATCAGTAGAACTATGAGTCTATTAAATATTTACTGAGTCTTAAGTCTTTCATTTAAATAATACTAAAATTCTCAGATTTAATTTCCGCTTTTTATTGTTTAAATTACATACTCCCGTATTTTCTTTGCAAATGACATTCACATCTCATCTCTGTGATTACGGTTGCCACAAAGTAATCTAAACGTCGGGAGTATGTTGTTTCATCATCATCAGCCTATCAGAGCCTATTACCGAGCAAAAGCCTCTTTCTTACATGCAGTGGCGGCTGGTGGGTTATCGAACTGGTGGTTCACTTTACTAAAATATTGACAAAAACAACAATTGACATAAAATATGTTTATTTTTTGTACATTAAATCAATGCGACGACATTTTTCTGTAGCGAAATGTTCTATCACCTTTTTATTAATATCTGGTATTTTTTCTATAAATTTCTTTTCAATACTAAGCACAGAAAGTGCATTTAGCCGATCCTGAGACATGGTATTTCTGAGAAAAGTTTTGATTCTTTTCAGTGTCGAAAAACATCGCTCGCTCTCTACTGAAGTCATTGGTATAGTATAGATGCTCCTTCATAACTATATCCAACTCTGATACAAAGTCTATTAATCCACGAAACACTCCAGCATTACTGGACTCAATAGTTTCATCGTGACCTCGCAAAGCTAACTCAAATGCACCACAAAACTTGACACAATCGATAAGACGTGATAAAATGTATCTGTTTTTATCAACTTGTTTATTATACTTTTGGATATTACTTCTATACACAGAATCTAGCTGATTACGAATATCGACTGTGCCTAACACAGACAAACTCATTACATTTTGTAGGTGTACTTGTGAAGAATCATGTTTTTTTATTTTTTCACTTAAATGCGTCAAATCCTTGATTCCAGTTTCTGTCCAAATCGATTCTCCGCCAAAAATAATGCAAGGAAAACAAAAGAATGCATTAAGACGCTCACATCCACACAACCATTTCTTTCTATTATACATTTCACTTTTAAAACTTCGTATAAATGCTTTATTTTTCGATTTACACTCTTGTTTTAAATTTAAAAAGGGCCGTGGCGGCCCGGCCAATTTTATGTTCACTTTACTTTGAAAAATTTTGTTATTTTCTTTAATATAATCAATATTTATACTCATTTTCAACTAATAAAAAACACAGTACAGAATAAAAGTTCTATTATAGAAACGAAATAAAAACTAAAACGAATTACGGAAATAAATATAAACAATAACGAATTAACGCGTCACGCATACAGTGAAAGTTGAAACAATACCAATAACGATTAACGAAATGTCAATCATAGCACCCATCCTTTCGGCCGGCCCCTTGCCGGCCGGCTCAATACGTCATACATCGGGTGCTCTCGGTAACCTTCGGCCGCTTCGTGCGGCGCTCGAGAACCGACTCGTTACTCGGTACATTTCTATGAACTATCTTTTGTCTCACGCGTCAGGCGTATTAATGCGTGTCTCATACAAGATGTATTAGCAGTCCTCGTGCACTCGCCGGAGCGCACGATATGAGTTTAGTAAAGCGCTCAAACTTTTTGACCATAATTGGAAATTAAATTTATTATACCTTTTTGTATGTTTAAAAAATAAATATTAAAATGGTAATTTAAAAATTAAGATGACATAATATTTTGTAATTTTTAAATATTTTAATTGGTGGTTCAGCGCACGGGCGCACTTAAGGTACAGCCGCCACTGCTTACATGTAAAAGGTTTGTAGTTTAGAAGGATAAAAGCGTTGTATAGCAGAAACTATAGGTTTTATTTCTATGTAATCATTACCTGCAAGCTAGTGCAGGCATGGCAGCCAGGCCTCTTGTTCGTGGTGCTATCTCTGCGCAGTAGAGAGGAGCCAGGGCGAGGGCCCCTGCACCACCAGCGCCGGCTGCTACCCTCGCCACCCACACACCACGAGCCCCGCACCACGCGGCCAACGACCAGCTTATCTATATAAAACAATTCATATTTTATACGATATTACAACGTTTATATAAAGTTAACTGATATCGTGGTAGGAGGGCATTGTATCGAGGTTCAAAACATGAATGATTTTGAGATAAAATATATAGAGTAGTTCCTTTGTAGTAATTCACAATAAATAGTAAATAGTAATAGTAATTCACAATTAATATACGACGATGACGTAATTTTATTTATACATATATTATTAATTAAAACAGAATTATGTATATACTTATATTGATATTTCCGTTTCTAACGGCCTCATTGTAATTCTATAGAGAATATCATACACCCGTTTGGTTATTAGCCCGACCTCACCATTCGCGCTTGCATAAAGCATTGAAAAATCAATTTCATTAGTTAAAAATATGTCGTGTGCAATTAATACAAATAATTTATTTTATTTACCTTGAGAAATATGCACGATACTCTGAATAATTAGGAAATCTACATATGCATTTAATTCTAAAACTACTATTAAAACACAAAACAATAAAATAACCGTAATTCATGAGCAAACGCTTACTAATAAACGAAAATATTTGTTATACGAAGACATTTGAGACAGCAAATGAAGAGACAGATATAAAATTGAGAAGGAGTCTCTCTGACGGATACGAATTAGTTCTGACCTCCATAAAATAGTCCAATATTATTTAACGAGCTAATTTTCTATACACAGCGAGCTTCTTGAAAATGCTTTTATGATGTTGACTGTACACACTATACTTGTAAATAATTTAATGTGCTTGAATGAACGATATTCATTTGCAGTTGTTGGTAACATTAAAATAATTTTCGTCAAATTTACCAAAAAGTGTATTTTACAATTTAAGTACAAGTAAAATATACATAAAATGACGTATATAAAGAAAAAAGGACTTACAATAAAGCTTATACAGATGACAAAAGCGCCGGCTTTTCGTCCCTTGCTATCCGCCAGTACAGCGAACATGGGTGCGGCTGGCAGAGCTACCAGGCATGGCAGAGCAGCCAGCCAGGCACCGCCAGTCAGAGCTTCATTGCCAAGAACACCCGACACCCAACCAGTACTGCAGCCATGTGTAAAACATGACAGATTGTCTAAAATATGAAAGTAGATGATAAATTTTCATATAATATCTGCTAATAAAATTTTCGTTATAATTTTTAAATATCACTGATAATATTTACATTTTTTCTATATATAATCATGACTCGTTTCATTACAAAACAGTATCAGCCTAGATTTATAAATACATAACTGTTAACAATATATTCTTTGGAATATTATTTTTTATATGAATATCTCATTTACTTTCAAATTACTAATAACGAACAAAAAAACAGAACTTTGATCTAAGATATCTAAATTATCAACAGTCTTTAAAGAGTTCAGAAAAATGTTTATAGAATTATTATGTTTAACTCACATACAGTGGCCGCTATCAGACGTCGTATGGAGCCGCGCCAACGTTTGGAAGCGGTCCTTTCAATACGGTTTCTGAAATATATTAAATGTATTATTTAATGATAGTCTTACATACAATATTATAGATTTAATTATACCAGTGAGAATGTATGATAAAGTTTTATATGAGAATATTTTACGTAAATACAAAAACAGCAGAACATATACATAAGTTATATCTAAGAAATCTTTTGAGTTTTGAAATGAATCATTGGACAAACAATGATATATGTATGTACTTGTATATATATAAAATAATTACTATAATAAATATTAGAGTGGAGATTCAATGCAATTTATAACTTTACTTTATGAATGACCGATTTCTAAAGTCTAAATCATTCTCTATTTTAATACTCATTATATTTTGTTATATCTTTCGATCATATAAACATGATCATATTGAATGAATAATATTAAAATATTTATGCATATTAGAAGTTTAGTTACACTTCAAATTGTAATGTTATTGAAACCGGGTAAGGCAAGAGACGAGTCTAAATAAGTCTAATTAAGTCTAAATTCTATGGAAAGATAAGTCTAAACTATAAAGTGAATGCTATCGTAACTATCTTACTATATATGTCGTCGTCAGTAGGACATTTTTGTTATGGTATATATTCTGTTTTCTGACCTGTAGGACCCCTGGTCCTATATGTAAGAATAACTATTCACTGTCTCACTACTACCTCGCCTAGAACGCAGGCGCACGTCACCGTTCTGCCCCGCGCTAGTAGTGAGACTGCCGAGCGCATGCTGCCCCTCTAGTGGGGTACGTGAGACAGTGTATTATATCTATTGTATAGATATTCAACTACGTGACCTACCTATGGGGTATTCGTGTCAACCCAGAGCCCGGTCTATGACACCGGTTGTCACTGTCACATACCAACAGCTCCCCACAAGCTGTCCTGCGAGTATTATTAATTATTATTTATTGATACTAATCTACATATAAGCCCTGGAAGGAAAGACGAGTTAATATTTTTCAGATATGTCTTGATATACTTTTCCTAATAGGTTATGTTTTTTTTGCTGCAATTCCTTTTGTAAGAGCGAAAAAAAATGATTGGTATGTATTCTGATATTCATTTAATTTAACCATTTACATATTTATAATAAACTAGGCATGTATCGTGAACATCGATTATTTTTATCAACATTTGGTTAGAAGTCAGGATTTAGTTAAGTATTGTAAGTACCTTCTATAACACATAAAACCTGAATTAAATCTATATACAAGACGATATGTATCTTTAAATCGTAATATTTTATTTCTTTGAGACTTAAATGCCTTAGAAATAAACTAGGATTAAGAATTGCATTTAATTTTTTACTAGTATGTGATATTTATTAGATATATAATATTGTTGTAAAGTCAAAATTACAAGCAGAGCGTAACGATAGGAGTCATTTAAAGGAAAATTATCATAATGAGATATATACATCTTCTTCTACCTGGCAATTTCCCAGCTATAGCCAGGGTCTGCCTTACATGTTATGAATAGTTTTTGGCTATTTGTTTTTACGACCGGCCACCTGCCTGACATCAACCCTCTTATGGGAATCAACATTAATCAGTGATGTCTAAATACTCTTACAAAGTACATATGATTCGGAAAAATCACATTGGTACTTGCCCGGGTCAGGATCGAACCCGCGCCCTCAGCGAAGAGAGGCTGAGAGGCGGGCCCTTTAACCACTGAGCCACCATTGATGAGATATATACATATATATAAATAATGATATCAAAGGTTTTTGATGTGTACTAATTCAAATGAAACATAATTGTTCGGATACTATTTTACATATATTTGCTTTGACAAACCGTTGGTAATAATCGTGTAAGAAATTATTGATCCAAATAATAAAGTACAAGAAGTAAATTTGCATAATGGCTCGTAATAGAAGCTTCATCCCACGGGAACGAGACAGCTGCGGCTAAATACATTAATATTAAAGAAAAATTATTCTTATTGGAACCAATATAAATTACTAAGGAATAGCTTATACATAAATCGCTAGTAACTTTACTATTTTTAGACGGTAAAAAATTAATAGTTTTAAAGGATTTACAAAATAAGTTTGGCTATAATATTGTCATGTCTGAATCGGTTTTGATACAGCTCTTTGCATTGGATAGCATTTGTTGTCGGAGAGAGAATATAGATTAATGTATGGTCAAACACATGACACTTTAAATAATAAAATGGCTGACATCGATCTCCTTTATAAAGTACACATAACTATTTTATACAAAATATTTATTATACATATATATTCTTCTCTTCTTCCTGGCAATTTTCCAGATTTAGCCAGGGTCTCCCTTACATGTAAATAGTTTTTTTTGCTAATTGTTTTTACGACCGGACGCCTGTCTGATATCAACCCTTTGGGAAATTTATTATATATATTATATCTTTATAAATACAACTAAAGTTTAAACCATAATTATGATTATCCTTTTATTTCAGGCAACTTTAAGATGTATAATTGAAATAAATTACAATATACATAAAGATGACAATTTATTTAGACCTTAAATGTACGTCGTAAATTCATTTATGTGTTTATTCTTTATAGGGTGTTTAAAGCTTAATTTTTAAACACCAGACGTTTGTCATCCAACCTAACAGCTCCTCTTGTTTCATTTTCGCTCCGACGCGATACTTATAATGGCGTGTTCAGATTTTAATCTTTTAAGTCTTTAGAGCATAATTCGCTACAAAAAACGGGCAATGTGACAAAGAACTAACGCTAATAAAACTTGCTTTACTGTGAAACTAATAATGTACAAAATATAACTTTATTTTTTTGCATACATATTTCAACATAAAAAAATTATTGTTATAATTTTTAGATAAATATGTTAAATGTAGATTTATTTATATGACATCTATTTAATGCGTATATGTTCTTAATATACCAATTTCACGAAATTGATTTTGTCTGTCATAATGTGTAATTCACGAAAATTACTACAGCACTTAAGTACTAAATAAATATCTAAGATAATTATTGTATACTAGTATGGCAATAGTACAAACATAAATTGAATTCTATATGGTAGTTTAACCTTAACATAAATAACAATTCATTTTGTTTTCACATAGCAAAAACATTTCGAGGCGAGAGCAAGATTAAAAGTCATACTTGTAAATGGTGCATCCAAAGAAAATATATTAATTCTAATAGCAATGTTGTTAATGTCTTCGTAAAACACCACAACATGCTTGATATCTTTTCCTCTCGTGGCTTAGGTAAAGGTGTACCTATGATAGAAAGAACGATTCTAATAAAGTTAAATATTTTCTCTCTTTAATATTATAGTGTAGTATTTATAGAGTTATTAAAATGGTTTTGCTTTTTCAAATTTATGACTGAGACTGGATATAAGTCATATATGACTAATCTACTAATAATAAATAAGCTAATTTTTATTTATAAATAAAAATTAGCTTGAACTTAGGTATAGATATAGAGCCAACACCGATAATACGGACATACATAGATACTGTGAAAAAGCAATTATGGACTAATGTATGCATTATAAAAAATATATGTTATCGTATTTGAACTTATTGTTATATATTATAGTGAATTCCTACTATAATATTTATTTAATACTAGAAGACCTGGCGAACTTCGTATCGCCCTATAATCAAGAAATATCTATTACGTTTTTTTATTTATACTTTTGAAGTTTAGCTGTAAGCTATAAATCTCCGTATTTTGAAGTGCGACAGAATGATTGACATATTAGTCAGTTGTCAAATCTAATATCAAAAAAAACGTTTGTATGGGAAATAGAAAAGGGCTGTTTTTATGGTTTTCCCAGTAATGAATAAATTTTTTTAAGCTTTTATACCTTCCCTGAACCTCCACGAACATTTCAAGACTAAGATAAGATAAATCCGTTCAGCTGTTCTCGAGTTTTAGCGAGACTAAGGAACAGCAATCCATTTTTATATATATAGAAGATAATCTGCTGTATGCTTGTCTTGATCTGCACAATTAGATTCTTTAATTAAGAATATTTATTTGTGTATTTTTTATACCTTCATTGTTTCTGTCAGATTAAACATGTAACAGTCGTAGTATTTAGTATCGATTAAATGATTCGATTAAATTTAAATGATTTATAAACTTAGCTTTATAACACGTATCTTGGAGTAAGATTGATAAAAACAAAACATTATATACACCTTGCCTTAGAGACAAATTGAAGATATATAACACAATTCTAAAGTGAAACAGTTTCCATAAAAATCATTTAAAATACGCTTGAAATTGTTGTATTAACTATTCAGTTAAACAAAGCTTCACATTCACAAATAGAAGCGATTCAAAGAAAACAGAATTTTATGTTAATACTTGGAGTTGTAACGATCTACTTGGCTACTTCCATTACTTCGTCTACTGAGTTTCTTAATAAATATATTGCTTTTTAAAGTAATTAACAGTGCTGTTACAATTTTACATTCTATTGCCTTTAATGTCCAAGTTCTATGCATATTTCATAATTGATTTTCCTAAAAATTTGTATTAGAAATTACTTTCATATCCTTTTCATTGAAATCTTGTAATGGATCTCAGTATTCATACTAAACCCTATTGTCAAATTACCTCGTGGATGTATCCCATATGTTCCTTTAATGATCATTTCACTCAGTCCCAACCTACATATCGACGACAGCTGTTAAAGGAACATAATTATTTTTTCCGCCCGCAGCTTCGCCCGCGTGGAGTTAGGTTATATCGCATTTCCAAGAAAACCTTTCAAAAGTCTGGCATAAAAACTATCCTATGTTCTTTCTCAAGGCCAACCCTATCTCCGAACCAAATTTCATTAAAATCAGTTCAGTGGTTTAGGCGTGAAAGCTTAACAGACAGACAGAGTTACTTTCGCATTTATAATATCAGTAGGAATTTCTATTGTACAATTTAAGCGTCCTTTAATTTTCTTAAGTAAAATTAATTATGACAGAATGATTGTTTTTATTCTAGATATCACTCAAGCTGATGCAAATCTT